TTTGTTAACGATATTTATCGATTTTGTTATCAATATTTATCGCTTTTTTGATGGATATTTATTGATTTTGTTATCGATATTCGCTATCGATTTTGCTATCGATATTTTTATTGATTTTGTTATCGATATTTATCGGATTTGTTATCGATATTTATCGATTTTGTTGTCGATATTTATCGATTTTGTTATCGATATTTATCGACTTTGTTATCGATATATTTATCGATTTTGTTAACGATATTTATCGATTTTGTTATCAATATTTATCGCTTTTTTGATGGATATTTATTGATTTTGTTATCGATATTCGCTATCGATTTTGCTATCGATATTTTTATTGATTTTGTTATCGATATTTATCGGATTTGTTATCGATATTTATCGATTTTGTTGTCGATATTTATCGATTTTGTTATCGATATTTATAGATTTTCTTATCCATATTTATCGATTTTGTTATGGATATTTATATCGAGTTTGTCATCGATTTGGTTATCGATATTTTTATTGTCCAAGTGTGCCCGCCTTTCTGGGAAAACCACCGTAATCTAACCCAACTTAACATATAGAACGCAACTTGTTTATCCAACAATTTCCTACAGTACTTTAACGCGCACAAGAAAAATGAGTGCGTGCAACTGTACTAAAGCGAAGTTCCGGTAATCACATACAGTTAAATACACACTTATGACTTTACACACATACTATATGTATATGTATAACGTCTATGGCGCATTCGAAAATTTTCTAGTGAAAGTGACGGTCGCTGCAAAAACTTTCGAGCAACTTTATGGTGCAGACAAATCTACGACCCGCATACATATATGGAAATGCACCTCAGTTGATACGAGTTCATATTTTCATATGCGATTCATTGGGTTTTTATTTATTGTATTTTATTGCACAATAAACTGACGTCAAGTGCGATATATCGATTGAATTGCAGCAGAGTAACCTTCGAGCACAGACACAATGTCTGTGAATATTGAGTAAATAGAAAAGGAAAGTATTTATTAATGTTTTTATGCTGAAAGTTGCCTACCTCTTTAATATACCTGTATGTATGTATGTGTGTGCATTACTTAGTCAATAGTAACTTAATGTATTTGTAAGCACTTTCACTTACCCCTGAACGCAAATCCAGTAACGTATCATAATCGACAATATCCAATTCCTCCCACGTTTTGGGTGGCAGCGGTGAGGGCGTCTGTGCGCGTGGCATATGTGTTGTCTGTGTGGAGTGTGTCGTCAATAAGGTGTCAATTTTCTCGCCTGCACTAGGTTGCGCTGCCTCTCTAACCACCTCAGCGCGTCGTGCGCTGCGCGAGCGCACTGGCGAGGGATCACGCTGTAAGTTGTGCATCACCTCAATGGGTTTGTGTGGTGTCTTAGGACTAATAATGCTATCTACGGGACTGATACTGTGTCGCTTGTACGAAGGTGAGAATGGTGATAAGTTGGCGACTGTGCCGGCGCTAGTCACGGAGTCTCGTCGCTTGGGTGGCGAATGAGAATCGTTTGTATTCGCAGACGAGCTCAAAGGGCTTGTGTCGTCTGCAGCGCCGCCACCATCGTTGGCAATGCTTGACATTTGTGCACGCCCTGGTGATTGTGCTGTTCTTGGACGCGCCACTGGTAAGCGCTCTGTCTCCGGCGATGACACCGGCAAAGGCTTAGTGTTGTCATCGATTATTTCCACGCTCAATGCCATAGTCTTGCTGTGGTTTGTCTCATCGGGCAGTGGACTGCTAGTGGCGGACGTGGATGGCGTGCTTATAATTGTTATCTCGGTTGTTGTGGTGGTTGTTGTTGTAATAGTGCGCTGCAAAGGCTCAGCGCTATCACTATTGCCGTCAACACCTCCGCCGTTGCCGCCCCCAGCCTCAATGGTATTTTGATTCCCAGTTGGCATGGCAGAGAGTGTGTGCTGATGCTCAGCTGCAGCGCCATTATTACTTCGATTATTTGATGTGTTAGCGTCGCTGTCCGGCGTACGCATCTTCACCACTTCGCCACCGAATGTTACACGTTTCGGTGTGCGCGAAGGCGTCGATGGCGTTACAACGCTATAATATTCTTGACGGTCCCGCAGGTTTGATTTTTGCTCCACTGCATTGCAGTCATCCTCCATATCGAACTCGGAATCGCTTAGTAAACGCACCACCGCGCTTAACTCATGCTCAGCATCGCGTGTTGCGCTTGGTAGACGACCGCAGACGACATCATCCTCCAAACTATTCGGGTATGTGTCCACAGATTTTCGCGGACTCGAGTCCGTATCGACTTCGGTGTCGAAATCATCGTCCTTTGCCTCGAGAATGCGCATCGTTAACGTATCATCATTGATTTTTATTTCAGTTTCCAAAATAACTCGCGCTTTAGCCGCCTCCTCGAGCATTTGCTCCTCATCCGATGAGCGCCAGCAGCTTACCAGGGGTTGCTTTGTTAACATATGCCAAGTACCAGCACCTCTGTTGGTATTCGCGCTCCTATCATGACCACCACCATGTCCGCTCGCACTACCATTTGCTTTGTCATCTACGCTGTAAACATTACACAACAAGTCGAATTCGCGATACGCGCTCGTAGTCATATAATCGCGAAACTCATCCTCACCCACCAAGTCACGTAATTTCGAAAGCACTTTCAGCGTGATCTCCTGATGCGTCACCTGCCCCATCTTCTGCACTAGCATATCTATGGCGGTGCGCAGTGTGTAATGACGCTTGTTAGTGTTCAACGTTGAATGAACCAGCGCTGGTAAGGATAGCATAACACCGCATGTTAAGCGTCCACCAAATGGTTCGTTGGTTATCTTCTGATTCAGCCCGATATCGAGTATCTGCAGCAATATCGTTTCGGGCATTGCCGTCTCGGCGAGATATACGCGCAGACAATCAAGCGCGCCTTTCCTCACGGTAGGCGCCTGATGTCCCAAATTCTCTACCAATGGCGCTATCAGCGCATCCATATACGCGTCCGCCTCGGCGCGCATTACCACCAATACATCGACAAAAACGCGTAGCGCATGCTGACGCACTTGCCATTCGGGATCGCGTAGACGTTCGAGAAATTCCCCAAATATTTTACCCGGATAAACGTTGTCGGGAAAGGTACGCGTGCGGAGTATGTGTTCCCAAAGTGGCGTCAGCTGGACCGAAGCCGGTGCGGAAGTTGCAGCGCGGTGTAGCGTGCTTGCGGAGTGACAGTGCTTGGAGGCAGCTGCCGCGCTTGAAGACGCCGCTGCCACAGAGCCGTAAGTACGTCGGCGTTGCAACTCATATTCGCTGCTACTGCTAGTTCCATTGCTGAGTGTACCGTTCACATTGCCGTTGTTGTTACTGTGGCGCTTGCCGCGCGCTGTTGCGCCACCTCCTAAAGCACCAACTTCATCGCGTTCATCGTCGTGGTTGTCGTTAGCGTTGACATCCTCATTATGATAATTGTACGGAGCATTGTCTCCGCTGCCACTGCTGTCCTTGCGCGCAAACATGCGGCGAAAGAACATATTATACAAACACAGACAAAAAAATGTAGAGCTCTTCTAGAAAGCGTATTTTAGGTGACCTTTATTGAGCCATAAAAGTTCTATCGGTGGCTATTTTGATTTAAACTCGCTCTTTACTGTCGCAACTTACACATGCGCCACACTTTTGCTGCGATAAATTTTCTTTGCTCTGCCACTTTAATTTCAGATTAAGCAAATAAATATATTCTTCAACGTCCTCGAGTGCACTTAATAATTTCCTTGGACTTTTGCTTTAGTCTTTTAGTCGAAAAAAAAGAAAAACACATAGCGACCGGTAGTACTTATTTCGTCTGCACTGGCTAGCGTCACTTTAATTAAGCTTCGTCACGCACTACTGCATCCGGCCAATTCACCCCATAATGCTCACCGAATGCATTGACCACTCGCGGTGTAAAAAACTCACTCCTGCACACTTTCATTTCAATTGAATACTTTTTTATTGAATACAAATTGTTTCTCACTGCCTCCACTACATTAGTTAGTTTTGTTGTGGCACTTTTCTTTCTGCTGCTTTTTGATATTTTAGAATTTTCCGACCGTACTCGTGTGCTTGCAACTCGTGACTGTGCGTTTCGCCGCTTCGCCATTGACTTTTGTACTTTAACATCGCTGGTAAGTTGTGTTGCTGACGATTGGCAAGCCCCAAGTGACCGTTAAATGTTAAACTAACGTTTATGACTTTGGACATCAGCTGATAGTGTTGCCAAAGTGGTTGTAAATAAGTTTATTGAGGAAAGTAAGGAAAACAATTCATAGCCGGATTTGTTACATTTGTATGTAAGGGTTGTATATATGTATATGGCATTTATGGGCATACCTAAATACTTTTGTATTTAAAATACCAACTTTCCTGGAATAAGCGATTTACCCTTATACTTGGGGGGATCCAGCATACCAATAAGAGCAACATTAACATTTTTGATTTAGCCAAGTGGCAGAAGCGAGTCAAGGTTGTCGGATGTGGTAACAAGAATTAGTTCGACTCACAAAAAAACGACGTCCGCAACCAAGATGAACTTTGCGCCAACGCACGTTTGGAGGTTGTTTCAATCTCAGAGGTGCCATCCCGTATGAGAGTGCGAGTGTGGCACACATATATATGGAATACATGTATGGTGACCAGCAGCTCAAAAGGCAAGTTACTTAAAACTACTAAACCCATCCCGTCAAGAAGAGAAGAGAATGCCCATGGAGAAGGGCAAAATTGAATTTTTACATGGACGATCCCCAGCTAGATCCTCACACCTGCTGTGAGAGAGCACTCTTCAACAAACCGACTTGCTCGAGTAGTGGAACCACATTTCCCACTCATTACTGGTACGATGAGGAGTGTGAGAAAAATGCCTGGACTGCTGGCCGATAGAAAAAACGGCCGAAATTTTTAGCAGAGAGTTGAGCGACTTACGGAAGGTTTCGAGACTCCTGTAGGAACAACCATGGCGACCGAGTGACCGGTGTCCAGAACGTACTCATGTTATGGAGGGAACACTTTTCGACCTTTTTAAATGGCAGAAACACTGAATGAAGTGGAGAAGACGAACCCGAGTCCCCAGTCGATGACGATGGAGCCGATATCCCAGCGCCTGACTATGACGAAAAGTAACAAAGCTGCTTGAGCTGCTGGCCTGTCAGCTGAGCTATTCAATTACGATGGCAAGGAGGTAATAAGGTGCATGCCCGACGACTGGAATTCCAGTGCGGTCTGCCCAATCCACAAGAAAGGCGACCCCGCCATGCGTGCCAACTACCGCGGGATCAGCGTTCTAAGCATAGGTGGCATGGTCTTATCGAATGCATTGTGTTGAGACTGAATACCACCGCCAATGAAGTGATTAGGCCAGTGGGCGTTAGACCTGGCAAATCCACCATTGACCAGGTATTCACAATACGCCAAATCTCGGAAAAGACCCGCGTGAAAAGGATCGGCACCCACCACCTATTTGTCGACTTTAAAGCCGCTTTCGACAGCACTAAAAGGAGTTTCCTATACGCCACTATGTCTGAATTTGGCATCCCCTCAAAACTCATACGGCTGTGTAAAACGACGTTGAGCAATACCACCAGCTCTGCCAGAATTGGGAAAGACCTCTCCGAACCGTTCGCCACCAGACGGGGTTTCAGGGGCGACTATCATTCATGTGACTTCTTTAATCTGATGTTGAAGAAGATTATAAGAGCTGCAGAACTGAACCGCTCAGGAAGAATTTACTACAAGAGCGTACAATTGCTGGCTTATGCCGATAACACTGACATCATCGGTTAGAAAAACCGCGAAGTTTGTCCTGCCTTTTCCAAGTTGGACAAGGAAGCAAAGCGAATGGTTATGGTGGTAAACGAGGACAAGACGAAGTATTTCCTGTCATCAAACAAACAATCAGCACATTCGTAATAATTTGTAATAATCCCGACGAAATCGTTGGGTGGTACCGGGAGGCGAACGGTACATGGCGGTAGGAAGTTTAGTTTGGGTTAAAGTCTCACACTGAAGGGGTTAGGCTTTCGATGCTTCCTTCTCGTAAAATAAAAATGCTCAGTAAAAAGTTAACAATTTAAATCGACGAATAGTCGTATATCAAATTTTGTGAACTTCTGTTTATGTGTTTTTGTACAACATATTTACCTCTATTGGTTACAATAATTTTAAGCTATAATAAACCATTTTTTAGTAAGAAAGTTATTGGTTTTGATTTTTTTTTTCGTATGAAAAAAAACTAGAATTAAAGAATAAGGCAGGAGGTTATAACTAGATATAACCATGGTGCTAACTCTAAAAATATTAGGTTCGAAGTCTGGCACGTTTCGAGAATGTGCTATTTTTCTGCACACCGTCGCATTGTAGTTTCCATAAACCTAAGCAAACCGACACAAAGATCTATGAAAATCTTCGTGGGACGAACTGAAATGGCTTTAACTAAGTGTGTCTGGAGTGCAACCCCTATGTACAGAAGAGCCAAACTCAGCAGACCAACTCGAGCATTTGAATTCTCTTAACGAATGTTATATGACAACTTGTTCCGAGAGCAAACCTCCTCTGTGACTTGTAAAATCGTAAACGGTGGAGCTTAGGTAATTTAGGATAGCAGCTAAAGTGATTTTAATAGTTAACCAAGAACGCGGGAGAGCGTACAAAGAAGAAATAAAAACGGCAAAGAAGGCTTCGTGGTCCAAACTTTGGGAGGACCTCGACACAGCGAACGAAGCCACGTGATTGAGAGGATACGTTTTGAAGAGCCCTTTTCTTCACGGTTTCCTGGTAAAGCCAGGAGAAGTGCAAACCGAAAGCATTCTAAATATTCTAGAAAATCGAATGAACATCCACTTTTGTGGGTGTTGCAGCAAAGGGGAGACAGTCAGTCTCGTTGCGAAAATTACTAACACCTATAGGCAAGACGGTTTAGTCGACGAAATCGTCAGTGAGAATTAAGTAGCTTGGGCTATTACATCCTTTCAGACCTATATATCACAGGATCTGGATGGAGGGCTAGTCTCCTCCTTTAGGTACATACTTAAGCAAAGCCATGGAGTGGATCTACTGATGATTCTCTGAATCAAAATAGATAGGACTTTGGGATAGACTTAAGGGAAGGGGACTCTCATACAGGCAGTAAGTAGTTAGCTCCATTTAGATTTAGTTTGGGTGGGTTAACGGAAACGAGGCTACAGACGAGTCAGAGAGGGTTCCACATTGGCATCGATCGACGATTTGATCTCATTCCCAATTGGAGCCACTTATAGAGAAATCTTTCTCCAAAACCCCCAGTAATCTGATCAAAGGTGGCGCATAGCGGCAGGAGGCCAAGTTCTTTTTATTTTATAAATAACAAACAGTGCGTCTCACAGTGTTTCGACATGAGGCAGATGGAAATAATAGTTAACATGCACCGATTTTGCTGAAATTGGACATGTGCTTTAATTTTACCAAGAGATAAGGAATTACGAAATTTAGTAAACACGGCATAATTGCCACGGCCTCCACTCTTGCGGGCGGAAAAATTAAATTTCACCCGATTTCGATGAAATTTAGTTTATACTCTCTCTTTTATCAGAAAAAATTAAATATAAAATATGGGGAAGATTGCATCACTACAACTCGCAATGTGGGCCCAATCATTAAATGTAATGGAATTATGGCTAATTTTTGTTTTCTGCTTTCCACACTCAGAATAACAAAGGTTATACTTAAAAATTACGTAGGTGTCAATATTCTCTTTTCTCCCAATGTGTTGTGTGATTTTTCCATTGTTCGAAGAATTATTTTCGCGAAGTTACGCAAAAAAACTCCAAACCGAAAAATTAAGAAAGTCGAAAATTTCATATACATATTTGAAAAGCCGCGCCAAAAGATTCAATTATATGCTCGAAAACTACATGAGATTCTCTAAAACATGCGCTTAATTTCAGGAGCGGCATGGGGCGGCACCACTGTGCGCTGCGGCGAAAGTTCTATTCTTCCAAGGTTTAAATAGAGAACATTTTTTTACCCCTTAATATATAAATCGATGTTTCTAAGTAATGAAAAAACAATGCTCTTCATAATTTTTTCCGAAAAAATGTATAGGCAAAGTCCAAGCAAAGCATTTAAAATTTTATTTTAGTACCGGTTTCAAAATACGAAGCGTATTTTTAGTACATACCTAAAATCTTTCCGGCCACAAATTTTGTTAACTCACCACGAAATTGGTCACTTGCGCACTCATCACATCACATTAGAATTGTTTACATATTTTGAACGTTGAAGTATAGTGGAAGGTAGTTAAAGAAACCGCAAACCAAAACAAACCAAATAGTCAACTTGCCGTTGGTTTGGTGTTTAGTCATAGAAAGCGCGATGTCAAAGGAGCTACTCAAAGTTGGAGAAGTAGAGAAAGTAAGTAGATATGTATTCGGTATTATTGCGTCGCCCATATGAATTTACTTTAATTATTTCCATTCGTTTTGCGCTGCACGCTATGAAAAAAAAGTGTGTCACTAAATATATGCTAAATGCTAAATTGGCAGAAAAATGGGAGCAAGTTGAATTGTATCGCAATTATTTCAATTGAATACAAAAAGCGTTACAAATTGTTTCGAAGCACACAATAATGTGGAATTTTCAAAGGAGATTGGTAAGTAAAGTACTGAAAAAAAACACCTTAAATTAAAAATATAATTATGCATTTCTTCCTAA